GCTGACTCAAAGTGCCTATTTGGAAGGAAATTGTGCTATTACAGACCTGGAATCACCCATTTGCAATATGATCTCACACATCAAGTATCTTCTCCAGGAGGCCCTGCTGAGCAGCCATCAATGAACTTGCAAGGGTTTTCCTTGCTTATTCCACATAATCCTGGACAGGAAGGCAATCTGGCCTCATTCAGTGGGTTCTTGGACCAGTTTCGGAAGAGGTTCCTGGCAGATGGTAGCTTTACCTTCACCCTGATCATCTGCCTAAGACACAATGTCATCAAGACCATTGAGAGCTCAATGTATGCTCAAAACTTTGAGGATTAATGTATTGTCATCAGCTCAAGGAAAAGATGTTTAAGCGAGTTCATGTTCCAGTAAAATGTTGGGTCATTAAGTTATTGTGACATGAGTTTTGTACGTCATTGACAGTTTTGGACAATTATAGGTCTAACACCATTTATTTTTATGCGTGAAAAGCTTTTACACATTGATTTTAGCATTAAATTTTTTAATCGCTACACTACTGTTTATTACACTGTGTATTTTATTGTGTTCTTTTTTATTATTTTTTATCCTGTATCCTTATCCTGTTTTTTAGTTTTGTATGCTTCTTTTATTTCTGTAAAGTACATTGTGACCTCTGTGTATGATAATGTTCTATATAAATAAACTTGCCTTGCCCTGCCTTGCTGGTAAGAGCCACAGGTACAGTATCTCCATGTCTGCGTGCAAGATAACAGAAGAATCCCTGATGGACAGTTAGCATAAGCAGGAATCGCACTGAGCCTGTGCTGCCAGCCTGTTTGTGTGATCAAATAAAGCTTCAGCCTTAAGCCCCTGTTAGCCTTGAGAGCCTTAACTTCATTGCATCAGTGAGAATATAGATCTACAAAAAGAAGACTGTAGTGTAATCTGACACTTTCAATGAGTTTCTCTGCCCAGGTGTTTGCATGATCTCTGGCTAACACTGTCCTGAAGCTGCAGCTGGACAATCCAGATGATGCACATTCTTACTTGTGAACCAGAGCCTGCTGCTTGATGGGATCTTTTACAGCCCAGAACATCACCGTGGATTGGAAATTATGATGCAGAGCTTGCATCTTGCAGCCACAAACTATTCCCTCTAGCTGGGCCGTAACTGTGCTGTTTCCACTGTACAAGGCGAATGAGGAGGGCATGATCAAGACCAGCATCAACCATGAGAAGGGCTGTGTTCAGTCTAAGGACTATGGACATCTATAGGACCCAGAAGCTGGAACTGGTTTTCCACCAGAGGATCTCCTTTTGCCTGGACACCCACATGTATGTCAGTGTAAACCACTTTTTAAAATCCTCCCAGCTTCTTTCACATTATGCACACGCTGTTGCATGGACTTAAACTGAAAGCTTAATGATGCTGATCTCTGATGCTGCAGAGAGGTAGCTGCTGGTTCATAGGTTACCTCTGTATATGGAGCAACTGGGAGCTTAGCCAGGGTTCATTTAGTGAAAAGGAAGTGAGAGCAAAGGCTTCCACAAGGTGGCAGTGTGGTGTAACACATGCTGAAAGTGCTGCAGTGTCTGAAGAAATAATCTTATCTTTTCAGTAAAATGCATAATGTGTGAAGAGCAGCTAAAATCCAAATTTAAAACAGGTTTATGGACTGTATGTCAGTTTTATCAGAGACACGAGTTGTGCCTTGAAATTCTTATCAATGTCATAGTTTGACGTGTGTGTTTCCTTGACAGAGGTGTTGTGAGAGGAAGCAGGAAGATCCAGACATTTAGCCATGTAGCAGAATTACAGCTTTCAACCCCACTCCCAGTCGGGCAGCAAAATGTACCAAGGGGGTACGATGCTGGACACCCCACAGAATTTATTTCTAGCTACAGGCCTGCTAAGGAGATGGCAGAGGATGATCATGATATTTTCCCAAAATTCCATTCAGCAGCATCTACTTTTTTTTTTCTTTACTTTGTTCACATCACTGTTTTTGTTTTGTGTCCCCCTCCCTCCTTATATGTCCAAGCAACATCTTGGAAAACATGATCAGTAAATTCTAGGTCAGGAAAATTAAATAATTTTAATAATATGTATATTTAATAATATAAATTTCATAAAATGTAATATGACAAATCACAGACAGGATCAGGAAAGTGTGTCAGTGTAATAAGCAATAGAATGATCTGAATATCAAAATGTCATTCTATGGCTTGGGAAAAACCATGTTCAGACAAAGTACTTTGATTTTAAACTGGAAATAAATTCAACAGCCAATAAAGGGCAATGCAGACACATCCAATGTGTTTAATTATTTTATTATTTATTATAAATTTATTTGTTTATACTGCAGCTCCATCCAGCGTTTTATTCTTAGTGCGAAACGACAGCTAGCCTAGTGTTTTGAGTGTTGGGTTTGGGGTGAGACCAGTTGGTTTCCGTTGCACACATCTAAAGGATTATAATTAGGGCAACTACCACACAATCATCATGCCACTAATCATACGATATATACACTCACCTAAAGGATTATTAGGAACACCTGTTCAATTT